AGAAATCTCTCGTCTCAGCATCTATGGCTCAAGTGGCTAAGGCGCCAGCCACATACACCTAAGGTGGTGGGTTCGAATCCAGCCCGGGCCCGCCAAACAACAATGATGGCTGCAACCAAAAAATAGCCAGGTGTTGTGGTGGGTGCCTTGTGGTCCCAGCTACTCGGGAAGCTGAGGCAGGAGAGTCGCTTGAGCCCAGGAGTTGGAGGTTGCTGTGAGCTGTGATGCCATGGCACTCTACCCAGGGGGACAGCTTGAGGCTCTGTCTCCAAAAAAAAAAAAGAAATCTCTCTGCCATTTGTATGACAGAAAGGAAATCATTGGTGGAGTTCATGTGTCCCACATTATACAAAATGTAAAAAACATTCAGAACAGGACAGGCTTAAATGTAGATATTTACTGAGTCAGTGATCGCTATTCCATGTGAATGCAGAGAATAAGGAAATGTCAGAGAACTTCCTGTATAAGTTTGTTTGTTTGTTTTGGAGACAAAGTCTTACTCAGTTGCCCTAGATAGAGTGCCATGGCTCATAGCTCACAGCAACCTCCAGCTCTTGGACTTAAGCGATTTCTCTTGCCTCAGCCTCCCAAGTAGCTGGGACTACAGGTTTGGGCCACCACACTGGACTAGTTTTACTATTTTTAGTAGAGACAGAGTCTCACTGTTGCTCAAGCTGGTCTTGAACTCCTGAGCTCAAGCAATTCACCCACCTGGGCCTTCCAGAGTGTTAGGATTCCAGGTGTGAGCCACTCAGCCTGGATTATAAGTTAGTTCAGACCCCATTCCTATGCACTTACAATTGGGCTAGGTTGAAGAATCTCAACCATGTAAGAAATTGACTTCGTAGCAGATCTTCACACCATTCCAACAGTGATTTTTCTGAGAGTATGCATTACAAAACAACTTCAGTTGTTGGCATACCTTTTTTGCATCTTACGTTGGGGAACACTCAAAGGAAGTATGTACAGTTACTTGAAATAGGAAAGTGTGCCAGCTTCTCGCATTGAACTTCGGTGATGCAGTTCAAATCTCTCTCTCAAGTGATCTATGTCTATTCCTTTTTGATGTGTGTTCCATGGGTTTAAGACCAAATAAAAAACACACATTTTGTGTCTTTTTATTTAATAATTTTATTTTTACACACGGGATCTTGATCTATTGCCCAAGCTAGAGTGCAGTGGTGTCATCATAGCTCACTGCACCCACCTACTTTTTAAAAATTGTTTTTTGTTGAAGTAGGGTCTGGCCATATTGCCCAGGCTGGTCTTAAACTACTGGCCTCTAGTGATCCTCCCAGTTTGGACCCCCGAAGTATAAGATTATAGGTGTGAGCCACTGCATCCAGCTCTTCAGTAATAATTTTAAATAATTTGAAATACTTATTTTAAAATAGATCTTAGGCAAGGTGCCAGTAGTCCCAGCTACTCAAAGACAATTGCATGACCATTTCTGCCAGAAGGCACTGAGTAGGCAGCCTGAGAATGGGCATACAAACAGGGGCGGGCCCAGACAAAGACACTACAGTGGAAAACACAGGGCCCATTCAGCGAAAGCCAAAGCTCTGGTGGGTCAAGATGCAAGAGCAGGGAGCAGTGCTTCTGGGAAAGACAATAAAATAAGCATAGCTTAATTTGACTTGTTTTAGCTTGAGTCACAACATACAGGATGAAAGGGAACAGGTAGAAACAAGATAATTCCAGCAAGGCAGACAAAAAATGTTCAGAGAGTACATACGACTCAGCAGGAACTTTAGAACCCAACAGATAAACAGAGGGCATGAAGTGTTGATTTTCAAGATAAAAGGTATATAGCTGGCAGGCTGCTGGTTTCAAAAACCTGTGTTGAACATTCACTGTCTGAATTTCTCTAACGTCCAGCTCCTACTGGCTTATTTGCTAGATCTCAGCAGTTTTCCTAAGTGTTCAGTTTTTCTAGAGACCCCCAAGGATGTGCATCATATATAATAAGTTATGCTTTCTGCACTCAGCACCTAGCATCCTCCATGAAGGCAGAAATCCACTTTTCCGAGTCCTCCCAGATTCCACATTGCTACTGCTGATGGAGCTGTCCCTTGCTTCTCGTCAGCTGCTCCACACAATCTCACAAGACCCGGTATGCAGAGGTAAAGATTTTTATGTTGCTAGTACCCAGACTCTAATGGAGGGCTTGCCTTTCTGCTGAACTCTTTCCCGGCAACCACTGACAGAATAGAGGGCTGAGAACAACATGGAGAGAGCTAAGCTGCTGGGCCTGTTGTAGAAGGTCAGAAATCAGAGAAGAGAGAAAGGGAAGGGGTGGGAGGAGGGAGAAAAGCCCGGAAAGAGGTGAGCTGGGCACTCTGCTATGAGAAAAAGCTGCATTTTACATCTCAGTTGTGTGGACACTGAACTTGAAGGGAGTGCTGTGACGATGTAAGCTTCTAGGAGATCATAGAAATATTTCAAAGAGTTTTGGAAATACTGGGTCATGGAAATAGGAGTTGGAGGCAAATCTTACTCAAATCTCAAGAGCCAGGGAGGTTCCAAGGAATACGTTGTAATACATATCTCACATCTAGTTTGGGGGCTGTGCAGCAGTGGGAAGAACGTGCTCTCAAAACTGCAGATAAAACTCTGCCTCCTGTCTAACCACATTTTTCCCTGCCGTACACTACAGTTTAATTCCCTAGAGCAAAGACATCTTGAGCTCTCTGCCTTGTGTTTACAAACTATGTGACCCATTCAAGTAGTTTTCCTAGGAAAATGGAACAGTCTGTTCCCACAAAGGTCACTAGTCTACTTGTTGCTAATTGGGAAGATAAGAAACCTTTGATGGTTGACTCTAGACAGTGAAATAGAGACTAAGAGGGCCATGAGAAAGAATAGTTTCAGCCCCATGGCTGTCGTGAATTCACAGAACCTCTGTAACTTGACCACAGATTGTAACAAACTGCTCAGAGGAGACCAAGATGAGGAACTAGGCCTACTAGACTAATACATAAGTGTGCATATCTGTTCTATGAAAATTAGGTCAATTTAAGGATGTGATCAGTGCAGGGAGGTGGTCAGCTATGGAGGTTTTACTCTAAAGTTTGAGAGGTTCAAGTGACTAGGCTTGAACAAAGTTAACTTTGGAAGATAGGTGAAAGGTTTCTTGACTAGAAACCTTGGCTCTAACCCAGAAGGGCAACGATAAGAGATTCCTTAGAGCGAGAGGCTTAGAAAAGTGCAAACAGCAGATGGGTGAGGCAGGGCAGGAGTACAGATCTCTCTAGATCAGCAGTTCTCAACCCATAGGAACTGTATTAAAGGGCCGTGGTATTAGGAAGGTTGAGAACCACTGCTGTAGACCATGTGCTCATCTGAGCATTCAGGGTAGAGGGAGAAATCAATGTAGGTACATGGGGGCTGTCCAATACAGCATTCTATGAAGTTCAAGTAGAAAACAGGTGGTTAGCAGCAGTTATGAGATTAAGATTCTTCTCTTCCAGAATCCCTTCATTCTCTTGCCCCTAACCACATTCTCTTTCCCCCCCTTATTTTTTCATTTTTTTGGAGGCAGGGTTTCCCACCGTCACCAAGGCTGGAGTGCAGTAGCATGATCATAGCTTACTGTAGCCCAAACATCTGGGCTCAAGGGATCCTCCTACCTCAGCCTGCTGCGTAGCTGAGACTATAGACAGAAGCATGCCTGGCCCCATTTACTTAATTATTAAAGCTCAAGAAAATAATTAAGACTCAGCTAGAGGATAACTGGCCCCAGAAGGTTTTCCCCAGACACCAACTCTGCACTGGCACCATGCCGATTTCTGGTTAGGTGCTCCAGTCAGGGCACAGCTGGTTATTTGCCACCATGTCCCCTCTCTCCTTGCTCCTTGGCAGACCACCGAGTGGGCACGGCCTCCAGGATAAAGACTACATATCCCGGCTTTCATTGCTGCTTTGTGTGGTCATAAGACTTCATTCTGGTCAAAAAGAAGTAGGGAATGTCCCTAACAACGTCCAGCAAACCTTACCAGACAGCTGGAACGTGCATTTTGTCCCCTCTTTTTTTCCCTTTTGGTTTTAGAATATGGAAGTGGTAGCTGGAGCTCAAACCTCTTGGTCCCTCAAGTACATGCTACAAGTATGCTACAATAAGCAAGACAGACATCTGGGTTCCCATGGTGTCAGAGCCAGAGTGCCCTGTCTGCTTACCTCTCGGCCGTTAGTACTACTCACCCTCACTGCAACCAGAAAGCTCCTGGAGAAGAGGGTGGTTACATCGGGAAGAGTTTCTGTGCCCTGAAAACACCTGCCTTCCTGTTTTGTGTGATTTTTAGACAATTACAGAGGTTAGAATTTGAACCAAAGGAGACAAACTCCTAGGAAGATTTTAAACAATTTTTTCTTTTTTTTTTTTTTTTTTTTGAGATAAGTGTCTCACTCTATTGCCCTGGGTAGTGCCCTGGCGTCATTATAGCTCATAGTAACCTCTAACTCTTGGGCTCAAGCGAACCTCTTTCCTCAGTTTTTCTATGTTTAGTAGAGACAGGGTCTTGAACTCCCGTGTTCAAACAACCCACGTGGCTCAGCCTCCCAGAGTGCTAGGATTATAGGTATGAGCCACTTCAGCCAAATTTTAAAGCTACTCTTTTTTCTTACCCGCCGGGAAAGGGCTTTAAAAGCAGCATATTTGATAACTTTCTCTGAACATCACCTTCAACTCAGGGCTCTAACACAAAATTATAGGTAAGTTCGAAATCAACACATTACCACAGCCAATTACTTTATTCTTCAGAAAACATAAGGGAAAATGTCCAGTTTCAAAAGAGAACACACCACTGTTGGACCCTGGCACCTTTCTCAGGGTTTACAGCACACTGGCTAAACGCCGTGCAGATTTGTCCACCAGCATGAAACGTAGACACCGGTGTTCAAACTTAACATTACGTGAGTTATGACTACATAAAAAGTTTAAATGAAATTCTAAGTCAGCCCAACTATATCACAGATCCTGAGTTTCAGGAAATAAGGACGGCTCAAAAATCAAACAGATGATCAAAATAATCATACAACTCAACCACCACCGCAGAGCCATCGCAGCTCAAGATCAGCGAGCTGGCAATGACCGACCTCATCCTTTCTTCACTAATGCATAAGCGGTTCAGCTTGGGATAGGCGAGGAGTCTCTTCAGGGGCACAAAGAACTTATTTCCAACACAGAAAGGTTTAGGAGACTTCTTTATCCTGTCTCTTTCAACCTCTGTGAAGGCTGGTCCAAAGCATAGCATGGGGGCCTCTGGGCCGGTGTCTGCGGGCTCATTACCCAGCTCCTTGTCCCTCTGTTCTTTCAGCCTCCGCAGATACCTCACTCTCAAGCTTTCCACTTGACGGGACACTTCACTGACCATGACGAGTCTGAGGAACCTTTCTTGCTGTAAACTTGGGTATGAGGCCGTAAAAACCTGGAGCGGGAAAAAAAACACTTAGAACAGGAAAATTTCCAAAGCCATCAGTAACTTTTTGCAACAAGAGTTGAATGTACATTTGGTGCCCACAGCACAGCGGTTATGGCGCCAGCCACATACATTGAGGTTCAAGCTCAGCCTGGGCCAGCTAAACAATGACAACTGCAACAAAAATAGCAGGCATTGTGGCGGGCACCTGTAGTCCCAGCTACTTGGGAGGCTGAGGCAAGAAAATCGCTTAAGCTCAGGTATTTGAGATTGCTACGAGCTGTGATGCCACAGCACTCTATCGAGGGTGACATAGTGAGACTCTGTCTCAAAATAATAATAATAATAATAATTGAATGTACATATTGGATGCATATCAGACTCCTACTAATCATAAATTCCTCAGTTTTAATGGGAATCTTACTTTTTTTTTTTTTTTTTTGAGACAGAGCCTCAAGCTGTCCCCCTGGGTAGAGTGCTGTGGCATCACAGCTCACAGCAACCTCCGACTCCTGGGCTCAAGCAAGTATCCTGCCTCCGCCTCCTGCCTCCGCCTCCTGCCTCCGCCACAACGCCTGGCTATTTTTTGGTTGCAGCCGTCATTGTTGTTTGGCAGGCCTGGGCTGGATTCGAACCTGCCACCTTAGGTGTATGTGACTGGCACCTTAGCCACTTGAGCCATAGGCACTGAGCTGGGAATCGATTTATGCATAGACATTAACTGTCTGCTTTCGACTTCTAATGTCCACCATCTCCCAGCCAGATTACTACTAATTCACACTAGTCCAATATTCCTACTTGACAGTACAGAGGAAAGGGTGGGGGAAAAAACATGGTTCAGTTAAAAGGCAAAATGTATTTCTTTTTCGTCTTTAAAAGGTCCGAAAAGCTTGAAGGCTCAGGGTTTGTTTTTTGTTTTGTTTTTATTATTTGGGATTCATGGAGGGGATAAAGAATTAGCTTACACTGATTGCTTTTGTCAGATAAAGTCCCTCTTATACTTGCGTCCCACCCCCAAGAGGTGTGCCATACACTGAGTCCTCCTCCCTCCTCCTCATTCCCCTCCCCCACCCCTTGTGAAGGCTCAGTTCTAACAGTCCTTCCCTGAGGCCAAGCTACCAGGAAGAGCTGCTGACTTTTTTCTTGACTGCTGATAATACTAACAGATTACACAGCTCCAGCAGATCATGCCTTAAAATATTCCTTGAGAAAGGGCAAAGAACCGAGCCTGCCAACAGTCCTAAAGGATTCTCACAGGGTGAACCACAAAATAAGATCATTTATACTCACCTCTACTTTGGGGCCTCATACCCAAAAAGAGAGTTCACCATCCTAATAAATGTACTTCTAGTCTACAGCCATACCACCCTGAAGGCACCCCCATCTCATCCAATAAACATACTTCTTGCCTTGATAGCTGCCCCCCCAAAGGACACTCACAACTTTATAAGCATGTTGCTCCAAAACACACGATTCAGCTGCCTTTCCGCCATTTTTCCGGAAGACGCCTATCTGTGTACAGAATCCGACACTCTCAGCACCAGCTGGTGGTGCTCCCACGCCAGTAAACTCCACAGAGTAATTATAGAGATTTGCCGCATGCGAAGCCCTGAAATGAGAATAAGGAGAGAAATCATTTTTCTAAACTTAAGAGCTGTTGTTAAATAAAGATGATTTCTGGTCAATAGAATACAATGAACAGAAATACTTGGAAGTTACAAATACCTACACCACCCATATCATGGGGCTTACTGTATTTATTTCTGTGAAGAGTTGAGGCAATGATCATGTCAGTTTCCAAGTTACCATAAGAGTATAGAAAAGAAAAGGAAATGTCTACAGGGAAGGATATGGGGGGAGGGGGGAGAGGACAAGGAGACCACAAGGGCTATAACCCAGCTACTTGTTGGGTTTGCAATTATACCAGAAGACACAACCAATCCTCAGGAGGTAACCCTGGTAAGGGGCACAAGGCTCACTCTCATAGCCCCAAACTTTCCTCCTTGCCTGTGTCAACACTACAGATACCTCCACATAAAAAGTACCTGGTACCCACAGTCCCTTGGGTGGTCAACTGACTGAGGTTCTACTGTATATATACTTACATCCTAGGATTTTCAAACTACAGTTTAAGATTTAAAAAAAATTTCAAATAAAAACTCTCTGACCTTACCAGTTCTGAAATTCCATTCTAGTCCACTCAAATTTATGATCTGAATCTCTTAAGGTCACCGCTGGAAACAAGGGATTGAATTCAGAGTTTGGTGTGCTGATGACAACCATGGATGGAGACAGGTACCCAAACACCACTTCCGGAAATCTGGCCAGATCATCTGAATCCAAATGTTCTATTCTGAAATGGTTCATTAAAAAGATATAATAAAATCTAGCTTTACTTGCACCTGTTTTTCACATTGATTTAAAACAATTTCCATCTGTACATTGATCTTCTCCCTTCTTTACATATATAACAGACCGAAGAACAAGTATTCATACATTATCCTCATTTCTCACCCCTCAATTTCACCTAAGGTCATTTTCTATTCTCTATGGCCTTATCAATACCTTCTGGGCTTATATCAAAACCTGATATAACACACCAAGAAGGATACAACATCATTTTCTATGGTATTCTTGTCAAAGATACATGCCCTGGCAGCACCCAGAGCTCAGTGGGTAGGGCGCTGGCCACGTACACTGAGGCTGGCAGGTTCGAACTCAGCCTGGGCCTGCTAAACAACAATTACAACTAAAAAAAAAAAAATAGCCTGGCATTGTTGCAGGGGCGCTTGTAGTCCCAGCTACTTGCAAGGCTAAGGTTGCTGTAAATTGTGATGACACAGCACTCTATCCAGGGTGACACAGTGAAATGAAGGAAGGAAAGGAGAGAAGGAAGGGAAGGAAATAAAATTATACTTTAGAAAAAGAAAATAAATGGGGTCAAACAAACAATTGGTGAATGTGGGTAAAGAACACGTGAGATTTTCTCGTACCATTACTACAACCTGTGTAAAACTGCAATTACATAAAACTTAAATTTTGAGGCCAGGCACAGTGGCTCATGCCTGTAATCCCCACACTCTGGGAGGCCAAGGAGGGCGGATTGCTTGAGTTCAGGAGTTCAAGACCAGCCTGAATAAGCATGAGACCCCCTCTCTACTAAAAGTAGAAAAAATAGCCAGGCATTGTAGCAGAACCTGTAGGCCCAGGTACTCAGGAGGCTGAGGCAAGAGGATCTTGAGCCAAATTGAGGTTGCTGTGAACTATGACACCACAGCACACTATCCAGGGAGACAGAGTAAGACTCCATCTCCAATAATAACATTTTTAAAATATTAAAAACAAATAAAAATTAAATGTTACCCCAAAGGGTCTAACAAAGTCTTGCTAATACCACATTTAAGTCAGTGTGCCCTAAAAAACCTAGACATTGAAAACAGGGCTTCACAAAGGCCTAAGTTCTATTCAATTTTCTATTCAAACCAGAAGCTACACTGAGTAAGGTGCAGAGAGACATCTCCTTCCCCAGGCCAGAGAACACCCCTTATGACACTTGTGGGCCTTCCAGTCTCACCAGGATGGTGATGAGCAGAAGCACCATGACCTTTCAACTGGTTACAGGAAGAAGTGCCAAAATTTAATTGGTGACCCATTATACCCAGCCATGTTCTCCAAGGGGCCAAATCTGGCAATTTCTTGAGTCCTTTTACTTTATTTGGCTTCTTTTTATCATCAATGAAAATGCTACATATCAAAATTTGTGGTTACAGGCTCAGTGCCTGTAACTCAGAGGCTAGGGGGCCAGCCACATACACTGGAGCTGGCAGGTTCAAATTCAGCCCAGGCCTGCCCAAACAACAACAACTACAACCAAAAAATAGCCCGAGCTTATAGCAGACAACTGCAGTCCCAGCTACTTGGGAGGCTGAGGCAAGAGAATCACTTAAGCCCAAGAGTTTGAGGTTGCTGTCAGGTAAGACGCCACAGCACTCTACCCAGGGAGACAGCTTGAGACTATCTCAAAAAGAAAAAAAAAATTGTGGTTACAGTGGCATATTATTAAAGGGAAAGCCATTGTTTTACCATACACTGGAACATAAGAAAAGCTGAAAACCAATGAGCTAAGTATATCAAGTAAATTAGGAAATGATGGAAAATGAAACAGTAGATGAGATAAGAGAAAAAAATTTCAGAAGACACACACACGCTCCGCTCTTAAACCTATGACCCACTGAGTAATCCCTACACCAAAATTAAATAAAACCTGTCTTCATGCAAAAAAACCTATATATGAATGTTTGTAACAGTTCTATTCAAAATCATCCCAAACTGGAAACAACCCAAATAACCTTAAGCCAGTAAAAGGATAAAAGTTGGCACATCTATACAATGGAATACTACTCAGGATACCAACTAGTAATACACAGGACGTGAGTAAATGAAGACTGTAAAATTCTAATGTTACATGTTCTCAGAAAGACAAAACTAAAACAGGGAATAGATCGGTGGTTACCGAAAACAGGGGGTGGAGTGTGACCTCAAAATTGTTTCAGATGATGAGTGTTTTATGCCCCGACTGTAATGGGTGTATTGAACTATGTTAAAATTCATAGAACTGGCTTGGCGCCCATAGCTCAGTTTTAGGGTGCTGGCCACATGCACCAGAACTGGTGGGTTCAAACCCAGACTGCACCTGTAAAACAAGAAATTAAATTTAAAAAAAAAACAGCTGGGCATTGTGGAGGGCACCTGTAGTCCCAGCTACTAGGGAGGTCGAGGCAAGAGAAACACTTAAGCCCAAAAGTTTGAGGTTGCTGTGAGCTGTGATACCACAGCAGTCTACCAAGTGTGACATAATGAAACTCTGTCTCAAAAAAAAAAAAATTTCATACAACTATACTCCCCAAATAATACTAATTCCTAATACTAATAACAATAAAAAATTCATACAACTATACTCCCCAAATAATACTAATTCCTAATACTAATAACAATAAAAAATTCATACAACTATACTCCCCAAATAATACTTAATTCCTAACACTAATACTAATAATACTAATAACACTGTATTTTTAATAATTAAAGTCAAGGGCCAGACACAGTGGCTCATGCCTGGAATCCCAGCACTCTGAGGAGCCAAGATTGGTAGATCAATTAAGCTCACAAGGTCGAGACCAGCCTGAGCAAGAGTGAGACTGTCTCTAAAAAATAGCCGGGCATTGTGTCGAGTGACTATAGTCCCAGCTATGGAAGGCTGAAGCAAGAGGATCTCTTGAGCCCAAGAGTTTGAGGTTGCTGTGAGCTATGATGCCACAGCATTCTACCAGGGGCAAGGAAGTGAGACTCTGCCTCAAAAATAAATAAAAATTTCTAAAAGTTAGTTAAAGTCAGGAAACAAAACAGCCTGATCTTTGGATCACAGTTACGGGACTAATTTTAACATAAAAAACAAGCATATGAATCAGCAAAAAAGTATCGACAGTCCAACAGAAAAATTCACAAAGGATACACACAGTTCAGAGAAATGTACCAAATGGCTCTGGAGCAGATGAAATTGCAACATAGGAGAACTGAAACAAAGAGCCTTCTTTCCTCCTAACAAGACTGATAAAGTTGGACAAGACAATATTGGAAAGGCATGTGATGGAAGGGTAAGAAAGCAAACCCTCCTATGCGGGCAATGGGGTATAAGTCAGGACAACTACAAGGGAGGGGAGTTTGGCAAGGACTTTTGTGGCAGACACTGCCAGTTGTCTACTGTCTACCCTATTCTTTTTTTTTTTTTTTTTTTGAGACAGAGCCTCAAGCTGTCGCCCTGGGTAGAGTGCCATGGCATCACAGCTCATAGCAACCTCCAATTCCTGGGCTCAAGCGGGTCTCCTGCCTCTGCCTCCCAAGTAGCTGGGGCTACGGGCACCTGCCACAACGCCCGGCTGTTTTTTGGTTGCAGCCATCACTGTTGTTTGGCAGGCCCGGGGTGGATTCGAACCCGCCAGCTCAGGTGTATGTGGCTGGCACCTTAGCTGCTTGAGCCACAGGCGCCGAGCCCCTATTCTTTCATAGACAGATGTTATCACAGGTATATGGATGCCTTTAGAGGATCCATTTCCAGCCTCCTATTCAGCCAGGCCTGACCACATGCCTAAGTTCTCTCAAATGGAAGGTAAGTGAAAGAAATGTGTGCCCTTTCTGGAATCTGGTCTTACAACATTTAGCATGCATGCCTCTGATATTGTCCCTGCTCCAGTTAACCAGAGGAATATGTCTGTGGCCAGCTATGACCACATGGATGAGTCTAACGTCCCAGCAAATGGTAGAACATGGCACAGGAACTTGTTTCACTTTCTAAGGGACTTCAAGGAGCCAATCATGGACCACTCAGCTTAAGACTGTTAGGAGAAAAGAAATAAGGTTCTACTTTCTCTAAGCCACTATGTCAGGCTCTCTAGTAGACCATGTCTTCATTTCTCAGTGCATACCCCTAACCCCTTACCTCAGATAGGGCACCACCGCTAATAGACAACTAGCGGTGTCGGCCACAAAAGCCCTTGCCAAACTACCCTCTCTGAGTTCTACCAACTCAGCCTTCGCCGTAAGTAAAACATTATCAAACTTATAAAATACATGCACCATTTGACCTGGCAATTTTCTCTAAGAATTTATACTATAGACACTCACATGCAAAAATGTCATATGAACAAAGCCATGTATTACAACAGCTAAAGGTGAGGTCATCCTGAGGTCATCCTTAACACAATGCCAGAGAAACACAGTATGTTACATGCTTACTGCTTATGCAGCAGGAAGAACCCAGAAGCAAATTAGGTCTGGCTCCATCACATGCCGCCATGTGAAAAAGGGCACAGAACAGGATGTACACTCTCAGTTGTACAGTGGAAACTGGAGACAACTGTATCTGTAAATGATGGGGGGCATATTTCTGGAAGTCTATGCAACAAAGAGTTAATAATGGTCCTCTTAACCTGTTTCTTGCTCCTTAAATGTAAGTGGAAAAAGCACTCTCACTGCTGGCCACACCACTCAGCATACCTGGGCATTTTTTCCCAGCAAATGACTTCAATTGCCTTGACCTCCTTCTTTTGGAAATCTCTGCAATTTCACATCATCTCACTTTCTTCTTCCCCTTACTTCATCAGCTGTTTCGTGCCCTTTTATGCTGGTCTGCGCGTCAATCACTTGGAACAGGAGATCTGGGTCAGGTTCATTACAGGCTGCCCCCTCATCATCCACTGCAACAAAACCTTCTAAATCGACTCCTTCAAGCTCCGCCATCATCACGCTCTTAGGCTGTGACAAATCCAACTTTCTTGAAACATTTCTGTGTCGTTTCTGGCTGAACTTTATTCCAAGCAGAAGTGATCCGGGACAGCATCCAGAGCGTTAAGATGCGGCAGATGAAGCTGCTTTCACAAGTGACCACAGGTTTGTGCTTTACTGATGACCCATTGCAGGAGTGGGGTCAGTAGTGCATTTTAAATTTTTTTTTGCCGTTTTTAGCTGGGGCTGGGTTTGAACCCGCCACCTCCAGCATATGGGGCCGGCACCCTACTCCTTTGAGCCACAGGCCGCCCTGCATTTTAAATTTTTTAAAGATAGAGCCTCACTTTGTAGAGTCTCATAGCAACCTCAAACTCTTGGGGGCTCAAGAGATCCTCTTGCCTCAGCCTCCTGAGTAGCTAACTACAGGCACCCACCACAATGTCCAGCTATTTTAGAAATGGCATCTCGCTCTGGCTCAGGCTGGACTCAAACCCCTGAGCTCAAGTGATCCACCAGCCTCAGCCTCCCAGAGTGCTAGGATTAGAGGTGGAGCCCACCGCGCCCAGCCCATTTAAAATTTTTTTTTTTTTTTTTGGCCAGGGCTGGGTTTGAACCCACTACCTCTGACATATGGGGCCAGCACCCTACTCCTTGGGCCACAGGCACTGCCCATTTTAAATGTTTTAATGATGATTTGGTCCAGAAGTTAGATTTTGGAGGTCATGTTTGGAGGCACAAATTTCACTGTCACATTTGTAGATGATTCACTTGTGGATGGCCAGAACAGATACCTACTGACAGCAGAATAGACCATTTCTTCATTGCTGAGTGGGTACCCCTTACCCCCTTCTCAGATAGGGCACCTGTCATCCACATGCACTTGTTTGATTCCAAGTGTCGGGGAGGTACTCTGGACTTCAGGTTCTTAAATGAATGTGCATGGCTTTGCTGATTTACTAGTCACCAAGGGCTTTCACTTCTCTCTGGTTGAAACAGTACAAAGCAGAATCATGAAACGTTCTTTGGAAAGTCTTCCACTCTAACATTTGTCACCCTGCATGATGTGGTTCCTGTCAGGCATTGCCTTGGAAAAAAGAATCCACACTCAGTCAGCTGTAAAGGTTGTCATCTTTGAAGCCTCTGGTGAAGTCCGGGAACTTTTGAACGAACTCTTCCCTAACTTCTACTGGAACTTAATTGGGTTCACCACATAAGACTTTCTGGAAATCTCACATCGGTTTAAATTTCTCAAGCTAACCACTATAATGCTTGGAAATGTGCCACCCTGAATTCCCGTGCAAATTTTTTTTGCAACTTCTTGGGTCATCGGCCTTGAGAGTCGGGTGTTAATTGCCCTCATTTGTTAGAACCCACTTAATGTGGCTTCATTAACTTCAGCCAGGGAAACGTTCCTCCTTATCCACTGTGGGTCTCCTCTTTCCTTACCATATCTCCCTAAGGACTAATGTTTACAGTTTTGGATGCTATTCTCTTGCTAATTCCAAAATGTTCCACTATCTTTCTTTGGCTGCTGCTTTCCAGAAAATGTACAAGAATCAGCCTTTTTCTACAATGTCAGCTCTCTGGGTTCTTACCTCTGGGCCATCACATCTCAACTGTAAAATTTTTCAGTAACTGCAGGATGTAACTATAGTTCAGACTGGTCCTTCACTTTGGAAAAAAATCCTCAACACACGATAAACAACAGGACATGAGGTCTAATTCGACACACGGTAATCATAAAACACAAAGAACTTACACTAAAGAAAAAATACAATTACAGGGCAAAGCCCACACTTTCTACCCCTTGCTATAGAGTGGCCTCAACTGGTCAAGATATAGAGGGTAAATTAATATTGTGTGTCACAGTCCAAATAGTCAGGATACAACTTATAGAGGGTTGATATAGAGGTCCGTCTTCCATTTTTTATTGTTGTTATTGTTGTTTAACTGACCCTGGCTGGGTTCAAACCCATCAGCCCCAGTGCATGTGGCTGGCGCCCAAACCACTGAGCATGGGTGCTGAGCCACATTTAAGTCTTTAATCCATTTTTTGAGTTTGTGTTTATATATGTATAGGGGTCTCGTTTCATTATCATTATTCTGCATATAGATATCTAGTTTTCCCAGCACCATTTACTGAAAAGGGTAGCATTTCCCCAAGGTATGTTCTTGGTACCTTTGTTGAAAAAAATCAGTTGGCTGTAAATACAGGGATTTATTTCTGGGTTTTCTATTCTGTTCCAATGGTCTGTATGTGTATATATGTGTGTGTGGGGGTGTGTGTGTGTTTTTGAGACAGGAGCCTCAAGCTGTCCCCCTGAGTAGTGTGGTGACATCACAGCTCACAGCAACCTCCAACTCCTGGGCTCAAGTGAGTCTCCTGCCTCAGCCTCCCAAGTAGCTGGGACCACAGGCGCCCACCACAACGCCCAGCTATTTTTTGGTTGCAGCCGTCATTGTTGTTTGGCGGACCCAGGCTGGATTCGAACCCGCCACCTTGGGTATATGTGGCTGGCGCCTTAGCCACTTGAGCCACAGGTGCCGAGCCTTGTTTGTTTTTTTCAGACAGAGCCTCAAGCTGGCCCCCTGGGTAGAGTGCTATGGCATCACAGCTCACAGCAACCTCCAACTCCTAGGCTCAAGTGAGTCTCCTGCCTCAGCCTCCCAAGTAGCTGGGACCACAGGCGCCTGCCACAACACCCGGCTATTTGCAACTGTCATTGTGGTTTTGGCAGGCCCAGGCTGGATTTGAACCCACCACTTAGGTGTATGTGGCTGGCACCTTAGCCACTTGAGTCACAGGCACTGAGCCTATGTGTGTGTTTTTAACACCAATATCATGCTGGTTTTGTTTACTAACACTTTTTGGTATATTTTGATGTCAAGTTGGGTGGTCCCTCCAGGTATTAAACTAAATTTTTTTATTAGATGCAAAAGGCCAGATGTAAAACCTACCCTTTACTGGTTCAGGAAGAAAAAAAACCGTGAAAGGAGAGGAAGAAGGAGGGGAGGGAAATAGAGGGAGAATGAGAGAGAAAAGGATGCACATGTGCAAATGATAAAGGAAATGAGGAAAACGTTAACAAGAGGTGAATCTTGCTAAAGAATATATGGGTGTTCTTGGTATCATACCTTTTTTGCAATTTATCTGTATATTTGAAATTTGCAAGTAACATGTCCCAAAGGGAAAATAAAATATTCCCAATTGATAAACGATTTTCTTTACAAATAATGAAGATCTAATCATTTGAGACACTAACATTGAGATTAAAGATAGTACACATCACTTTAAAACTTACAGTTCGATACAGGTTATCAAGTCTAATCCAAGCAAACGAGAGTCTCTCTCCACAACAGAGCCACAGTACAATGTAATAGTCAAATTCAGTTCCCGGGGTTGCAGAAAATGCCCCAGGACAGGAGCCAATTTTTCCCTGCAAAAAGAATTTTTGAAAAACAACTGTTTTAAACCCAGTCTGTTTAGAAATTCTCACTAGCTACAGAACTCAATCCCCTGGCAATTATCTACCTACACTGATAAGTCCGACACAACCTGCTTTCCTTCTCTTGATTTATTGAACACGAGGATCAGTGATTTTCAGAATTTTTGTTATTCAGAAGAAAAACATTCTTGAAACAATCTCTAGAAACCCAATATACATATATTGTATACACGGGACACAGGATAGAGAAGGGCTCTGTTTCAATATGGAATACAAGGCCTGCAGCTTTGGCCCCAGGGTTCTGAGGCATTTAAAACCCTCTCTTACAAATTATCATGTCTGGCATTAAAAATGATGAGATTTTTGCCATTTGAAATTGATTTTGCAAGGCTTTGACCATCATGACTTAATGGAGGGTATATTTCAAGTTGGTAGAATGCATAGAGTATACAACCAATTAGTGTTACGTCAAAGCCTGATTATTCAGGGAGCTAGAGGCTCCTCGATAGTCCCAATCTTTAAAACAAAGTACAAAAATCAATACTTTCTCTAAGTGTAATTAATAATGCCCCTAGTTTTAGATTAATGCATAATTCAGAAACTAGGTATTACCCCTTCCATCGTAATTTATCCCCATCGATGTCTACTCCAATGAGCAGTTCAATGCATGGAAACACTTTTAACTGCCTTATGAGTGAAGTATCACCACATCCCAGGTCTGCAACCTGTAGATGAGACAGATATTATTCCAAAGACATTTGTCAAGTATGATCAAAAACCTTTGGGAAGGGAGGAATGTATATCAGTAATAAAAATTTAATAAACCATTACATGGAAGGATACTTTTGCTAGACTAGTGTAATAAAAAACAAATTAGAGATTTTATAAGCCTGTGGGAAAATAAGTATTTCTTTAAGACCGAATGTCACTGTGTCGCCCCTCAGTAAAGTGCTGTGACATCACAGCTTACAGCAGTCTCAAACTCTTGGGCTTAGGTGATTCTCTTGCCTCAGCCTCCCAAGTAGCTAGGACTACAAGCGCCTGCCACAACACTCAGCTATTTTTTTTCGTCGCAGTTGTTCAGCTGGCCCAGGCTGGATTCAAACCTGCCACCCTCAGTGTATGAGGCTGGCCCTGTAACCACTGTGCTACGGGCTCTGAGCCACGGAAAATAATTATTTCTATTTGATCAAAACTAAATAGAAAAACCCAGTCCTATCCCAAAACAATTGTTGTTGTATATACTGGACTAATAAGAAACAATTTGGTACACAATTCTCCCATTCAGAATCAGAACTTGAAGTCAGAATCATATTTTAGCAGACAAAGCTTTCCAAAACTCTGCTTTCATTCTTTTATCACTCATGGAAAGGTTATTTAATTTCTCATTTGATTAAGCAATTACATCAAGCCATTTGAAATTCCATATTGAACTCTGAGCTGCCAAAGGGGCAGTTTTAGATGCCAAGTGAATTCAGGAGCCTAGGTGTACATAAACACCTTGCGCCTTTGTGTGCAAGCATAGAAACAGCAGTGGTGCGGTTAAAATAAGGGAAGCTTCCCTAGGTGCAGTGACTCACACCTATAATCCTAGCTCTCTGGGAGGCTGAAGAAGGGGGATTGCTTGAGCTCAGGAGTTCAAGACTAGCCTGAGCAAAAGCAAGACCCTGTCTCTACTAAAAATAGAAAAAGTAGCCAGGCTTGTGGCAGGCACCTGTAGTCCTAGCTAGTTGGCAGGCTAAGGCAAGAGGATTGCTTAAGCCCAGGAGGTAGAGGTTTCTGTGAGCTATGAAACCACAGTACTCTACCCGGGAGAAAGAGAGTGAGACTCTGTCTCCAAAAAACGAGGGAGGAGCCTTCTAAGTTTTCGACATCAAGTAGAAAAAGAAACCTTTCATCTAGAGATTCAGCTTATCAGCATCTCGTCTACTTCCAGGTCATCCATATTAGTATAGTAACCAAGTGTGTGTGTGTCCTCTATGAAAGCATTACTTGCATCCAAAGTTAGCTGAGTAGGCCCATCATCAGTTTTAAAAGAACAACAGTACCCATAGCCACAATACCATGGCCTAATAATCTGATGAAAATTTCTAGGAATGTGGAACCTACAAGATCACATCCAACTATGAACGCAAGTTTTTCCTTTTCATGTTTGAACCTGGCAACACTAAATTCTACTTGAGCTCTGTGTTTTTGGTAAATGGCTAAATGGGTCCACTTTAGGCTTTGTGTTCTGGGATAGGGCTCACCGCAAAGAACCACCATCCCCTTATTAGACTTAAATAAGATTCCTTGTGTTACTTACTATTCCTTGCCTCAGATGATTAGCATAACTACTTGTCCCCCCTGATCACTGGGAAGAAAATTCCCTTTTTAACCATACATTAAGCAAACTTTCCTCCTTCTTCCATGCCTATGAACTTTGGCCTGAGGAAACAAACAAATTTTTGCCTCTTTAAGGCTCCCTAGAACATTCTGCTATCCTTCCATACCACTAATCCTGCTTCCCTACTTTCTAGCCTTTTTCACTCTTCTGGTATTTAAAAAAAAAAAAAAAAAAAAACCTTTTTGCTGAACTCTTGAGACAGAATCTTATAGTCACAACATTCTGCCTATTGCAAAAATCTCTTTAAAAGTCTCCTAAACAACCCCAGAAGTGCATTAATGTACATAGTTACCATTCAATAAAAAAAAAAAAAAAAAAAAAAAAAAAGACTCCTAAACAGACTCCTTTGTTCCTTCTCCACTCACACTGGTTCACTTTACTAGCCTAAAAAAAAGAAAACAAGTATCTACTGCACTTGACAAAACACTTCACAAGACAGTCTTAATAATCGTTTGGAAAAAGAAATACCTACCTTCTTAGGTTGGTGTAGATCCACTAAATCTTTAACAAACTGGTACCGCTGTCTGTACAATGGAGGTTTAAACTGAATTACTGGCGCACTGGCACTTCCATCAACCACATTATCACACTGGAAGTTCACAAACAAAAAGGAGAAGCGTTCTAAATCATGCCTGACTTAAGAAATTATTTAAATAAGGGGAAGGAAAGCATTGTATTTCCCGCAAGCACTTTAAAGCCTTCAAACTCCCTCTGTTCTAAAATCATTAGGCAGCACTGCACTCCCCCCACAGTTCACCTTAGCCTTCTCCCAGGCCTTTTAGTGAGAATCTGGATTTACGCTTTTTTGCAGCTTAGTTTCAGCTGCAAGGAACATTACTAATGAATGCATTTGATAGACAATTAGAAGCCTCCTAGCAACAAGGGACCTTTTCTTTTGTGGAGGAGCTGCCAAAACCCGTGGTGCCGGCAGGTGGGAAGCTGGAAAATATAATGACTGAAATAGACTCTCTTTGATCAAACTTGAGTCAGGCTCCTGTGATCCCTCTTCTTACCAGACCTGATGTTGCTCCCTGTCCAGTCATTGACCTGACAGCCCAATTTTCTTTTCTTTTTTTTTTTTTTTTTTTTGAGACAGTCTTACTTTGTTGCACTTGGTAGAGTGCAGTGGCATCATAACTCAAAACAATCTCCAACTCCTAGGCTCAAGGGATCCTCCTGTCTCCATCTCCTAAGTAGTTGGGACTACAGGTGCGAGCCACAATGCCCAGCTAGATTTTAGAGACAAGGTCTCGCTCTTGCTCAGGCTGGTCTCCAACTCCTGAGCTGAAGTGATCCACCTGCTTCGGCCTCCCAGAGTGCTAGCACTACAGGTGTAAGCCACAGTGCCTGGCCACGCCTAGCCCAATTTTAGCAGTAATTATCCTAAGTCAGTTTAGAAAGAATCTCCCACCCTTGATCTGATCACCCTCAACACCTGGTCAAATTCTTCATCCCCCCCCCACCCCACCTTTGCTAAGCCTTTGACCTACTTTCAGCAAGAATCCACTACCCTTGATGTTTTCCTCTTTTTAATTTTCTATCCATTCTGCCCCCCCATTCACCTCCTTGGCTATATATCCCCAACTGTCTTTGCTCTATGACAGCAGTTCTCAACCTGTGGGTCACGACCCCTTTGTAACAATGAAAATATATCCTGTATATCAGATATTTACATTACGATTCATAACAGTAGCAAAATTACAGTTATGAAGTAGCAACGAAAATAATTTTATGGTGGAAGGTCACCACAACATGAGGAACTATATTAAAGGGTCGCAGCATTAGGAAAGTTGAGAACCACTGCTCTAGGGCAATGCTCATATTGCCATTGTGTTAAATAACATCAGAATTTTTCTGTTTTTAACATGACCAAGAAAAAAAAAAGAGCAGAATTTGTAAGATTAATCCATAACAGCCATTGCTGCTGTTCCTAGATACCAGTATCGCAAAGTAGTCCAAAGGCACTTGACAGAGTAGCACCCTCCAAAAAAAATAAAATACAGGCTCAGCACTGTAGCTCAGCGGCTCGGGTGCCAGCCACATACATTGGAGCTGGCAGGTTCGAATCCAACCGGGCCTGCCAAACAACAATGACAACTACAACAACAAAATAGCCGGGTGTTATGGCAGGCACCTGTAGCCCCCGTTACTTGGGAGGCTGAGGCAAAAGAATGGCTTAAGCCCACGAGTTTGAGGTTGCTGTGAGGTGTGATGCCATGGCACTCTACCCAGGGCAACAGCTTGAGACTCTGTCTCAAAAAAAAAAAGAAAGAAAATACATGTATGTAACTTTTTTATTGCCTATGAATTATTATGGAATTATAATATTCTATTTAAACCCAAGTTATACAAAATATTTCAAAATAAAATGAACATAAAAGTCTGATATTTTAGATTCTTTTTCACATTGTCTTCAAAATCCAGTGTGCTACATATTTTATACTTACGCATCTCAATGCCAAAATTTTCATCAGAAATACCTATCTGTATTTGGGTTTCAGAAGCTTTACATTTAATACATTCAGAGCTGGGTGTGGTGGCTCATGCCTATAATCCCAGTATTATGGGAGGCCACCTGAGCTCAGGAATTCAAAACCAGCTTGAGCAAAAACTAGCCAGGCATTGTGATCGGCACCTATAGCCCCAGCTACTCAGGAGCCTGAAGCAAGAGGATCGCTCAAACCCAGGAGTTTCAGGTTGCTGTGAGTTATGATACCATAGCACTCTATCAGAGGATAGAATAAAACTATCTCATAAAATAAAACATGCATTCACATAGCCAAGTTATTCCAAACATACAACTTCTTCAATAGTGAAATTGAATGTCCATTTTTAAACTTAAAATTAAAAATGAAGCTAAAGTTTAGTTCCTCAGTTCCACTGCCAATGTTTCAAGTGGCCAATTGCCTAGTATACCTATTGGAAAGCAAGGATCTACGACCTAGGTACTCCATGTGTGGCTTCTAATCCAGTGGCATCTTCCTGGAAGCTTCTCACAAACAGAATCTTGGGTCTCACCCTAGAGACCGCATCTAACAGAATATGCAGTTTAACAAAACACCCAGGTGATCCATATGCACTTTTACACTGGAGCAACTGATCATCAGTTTATTTTACTTTATATGCACCAAATGTGAATATTTCATCCTTGTTTAGGTCAACCAATACTCCAGAAAAGGTCAGCACCTAAACATGACGGCTCTGCTTGCAATGACCTCACAGTCCTTCCAGGTGATAATTCTTTAATTACTGATGAATCTTAAAGAGTGGCATTACCTGTGTGTCCTTTTCTTCCATTTTGTTTCTAAGTTTCGTTGAAACAAAAATGCAGGTTTATTCTTCAAGCTCTACTTGAGAGAAGCGGCAGCAACTCAGCTGTAAATACAAAACATCCGTCTTGTAAAGATAAACACCTGGAAGAAACAGCTGGCTGGTTCAACAGGGAGGGGAGAGTGGGCTTCAAACTTAGGTGTTCTGCTTATTTCATTGCTAAGTCCCCCAACCTCATTCAAACTGCTTTCAGTAACCTTTCCACACGTCGTCAAAATAAAATTTTCTTAATACTGGAGGAGTTAAAGATGCTCCAACACATACCCAATTCGCTCGACAGACTTCAATTTCGGTTTTGGTTCTCTATTGCACACTTGTCTCTATCAACTAGCACTTAGCCTAAAATCTAGGCAACACATCAATCGCCTAACTTTTGGAGAATCCTCTGTCTCGTGTCGTGAAATCTGCTCACTGGAGCCAACGATTCAGTTCTAACAAGCGCGAGTCTCACCTTTAAGCAAGCAGCTCGCGCGAGCGGGAAAAGCGGAGCAGCGCGGAGACAGCAGATTTGCCAGCGCCTGAGCAGAATTTGTCTCCGGGCCCCGCCCCTGACGCCCGCGCACGCGCAGTCTCGCTAGGTGACGTTACCCGCCCGCGGCCGCAGCTGCCCCGCTGCTCCTGGGTGGTGCGCCCTCGGGGTCTCCCCCTGGGCGCCCGGAGCCCTGCAGTTCGGCCGGCTCCATCCTTCCAGGCTCCCCCTCCGAGGCGTCGGTTTTGAGCCTCTTAACGGATTCCGTGGCGCATGCCCCGAAGCCATTTTCTAGTTCTTCACCCGAACCTTGGCGAGGACTCCTGCTCCCGCCCGGCCAGATCTCCGGTTCGCGCGCGGCTGCGACTCGTCCTGGCTGGGCCCCGCCGACTGTTGGACCGAGGCGGCGCGGCACCGAGCGCGTCCTCATGCCGCGAGCAGGAGGGTGGCCAGCGCGGGAGGCTGTTGGGTTCGTGACGCTCCCTCTATTAGGCAAGGGCCAGAAAACGGTCCAGGCCGGTGGAAGGCGGCGGGTGGAACAGCCGGGCTCAGCGCGAGCTGACTGGCGCATCAGGTCCGAATCAGCCGCCACCCTGATGCCAAAACTATCCAAAGGTCTTAAGGGACTCTAGGCTGGGTAGATTTAGTTCAGCGGCACTCAAAAAAGAGCGTATACCGGGAGCACTTTTCAGCTCCTAATCCAACTTTTCTACCCCCTGCATGCTGTGATGAAATTGTCAACTCTTAGAAGTTACTGTATCTGTCCTTCTTGCCTCTAGAGATTCTGCTTGACATTTTATATGTAAACGTGCACCTTACTTCCTCTATGTGATTGAAAGCATGAGGGTGAGGGGAGGAGCGAAGCAGCCTTTGGGGGGGAAATTTTTCCCCCATTCAACAGGTTCAAAAGTTGTTTACTGAATAAATAACCTTTTGATATACCATAAATGATAAACTAGAACTGTATTTTCGCTTAATAACTACTTATATGCAAAGCACTAGGCTAAGAGCTTTAGGGTAACACAAATATGAATTCCACCATTCTTGTTTTTGAAATCTTGAGGAGTCTGTTATCATAGGGAAAACAGTATGTAACTCAAGGTAAGCTTCAAAAATACAATGATAATGTCACCTAACAGTTTGGAGAAGTTTCTTATGGTTTAGGGAAACTACTTTTAACGGATTGTCTTCTTTAGAGGAGTATGCTTTTTTTTTTTTTTGAGATAAAGTCTGTCACCCTATGTAGAGTGCTGTGGCGTCATAGCTCACAGCAACCTCCAACTCCTGGGCTCAAGTGAGTCCCTTGCCTCAGCTTCCCAAGTAGCTGGGACTACAGGCGCCTGCCACAAGGCCTGGCTGTAAGAGTATTCTTTTTACTACAAGATGTAATTTAAATAGAACTTTAAAAGTAAATAATGGAGTCACTCCCAGGTATATGCTCATAAAGGAATTGAAAGCAGGGACTTGAACAGGTATTTGTACACCGAAGTTCATAGTATTATTCCCAGTAGCCCAATGGTGAAAACAACCAAAATGTCCATCAGTGGATAGATAAACGAAATGTGGTATAGACCTACAATGGAATATTTAGCTTTTAAAAGGAATGAAATTCTGACATTTGCTACAACATGGGTGAACTTTGATGACATTGAGTGGCCAGCACCTGTAGTCCCAACTACTCCGGAGGCTGAGGCAAGAGAATTACTTGAGCCCAAGAGTTTAAAGTTGCTGTGAGCTATGATGCTATGGCACTCTCCCGAGGGGGACAAAGTAAGACCATGTCTCAAAAAAAAAAAAAAACTTATGGAATATCTGTTTTATCAAGCAAAAAATAGTTACTGACATAATATCGGTCGCAACAGGACAAGTATATGAGGTACCTGGAGTAGTGACATTCAGAGAAAGTAGAGTGGTAGGTAGTTCCAGGGGCTGGGAGGAGGGAATCGAGAGTTAATGCTTCATGATACAGAGTCTCAGTCTGGGATGATGGAAAAGTTCTTGGATGGAAAGGGGGGTAGTGGCACAATGATGAGTGTTCTCTTAATAGCACTGAACTCAAAAATTGTTTAAAATGGTAAATTTTATGTATACTTAGCACAATTTTTATAAATTTAAAGGAAATTTTTAATAAATGACATATCCATGATTCCTGGACCTAGGGTTTTTTTTTTTTTGCCCACCTGCTAGTTGACCCTCTTATGACCTTCAACTTCACAACTAATGTCCTCTCCAAATTTACCTTTTTCACCATTCTTGTGTTCCACTCTCAGAACTGGAAAATCACCCTTGGCTCTATCCGTTCTGCTCTTCCCACGTTTGGACAATCACCAAATCTAGACCTTTGCAAGCTGTCAGCTGCATCTGTTCCTTCCCACAGCCAATACCTTAGCTTAGCCTTTGTTATCACACTTTGTCATACTCCTCTTACCCTTCCTCTACCAGATACTAAGTCCCACTGAGATACATACCACGTTGTTCTCTTTTCAGAGTAAGTTTAAAGTGAGAAGACCCTCAGTCCTCATTTTGCTATTACTCGTTGACCTTTGGAATTTTACTCATCCTCTTGTTTTTTTTTAAACTGTTGAGAAATGAGAATTAAATGAGATTACCTATTTGGCAAATACATATAAAGCACCCATTATGGATCAAGTATTGGTTTGAGCAAAGACAGGTGAAGATCCTGGTAATCAAAGTACTGGTTTGAGCAAAGACAGGTGAAGATCCTGGTAATCAAAGTACTGGTTTGAGCAAAGACAGGTGAAGATCCTAGTAATCCTTATAATAGGATGAAACATATGGTTTTTTTTGTTTTTTTTTTTTTGGGACAGAGCCTCAATCTATCCCCCTGGGTAGAGTGCTGTGGCATCACAGCTCACAGCAACCTCCAACTCCTGGGCTCAAGCGAGTTTTCTGTCTCAACCTCCCAAGTAGCTGGGACCACAGGCGCCCGCCACAATGCCTGGCTATTTTTTGGTTGTAGCCGTCATTGTTGTTTGGCAGGCCCAGGCTGGATTCAAGCCTGCCACCTTAGGTGTATGTGGCTGGCGCTTTAGCCACTTGAGCCACAGGCGCTGAGCCAAACATATGGGTTCTTAGGGTGATTGTATAATGCATGTAAAAGGAATATAAATAGGGCCAGAATGAAAATTGTGTCATATTAAGATGCAAAGTATTTGACACACTTATTGAGAAAGTGAGTTCTATTTCTTTTTAATCTGTATGGGTTTTGTAATTTCACCAATGAATAGAATACCTCAGTGCAACATTCTGGACCCAGGGGGAAAGAAACTGGCAGCTTCTACTTCCTGTCTCTTAAAGCATCCACTCTTGGAAACCAGATGACATGCTGTGAAGTAGACTAAGGGGCTCCATGGAGAGGCCTACCTGGAGAAAAACTGAGTCCCCCCTCACCCCCTTACGCAACTCCTAGCTGTCAGCCAACACTCACTTGCCTTGCCAGCTGTGTGAGTGACCATATTGCAAGTGAAGTCCTCCAGACTTAGTTCAGCTGCTTTAGTTAACTGCCTAAGGACTACTAATGCAGCTTTGCTCACATGCACAGAAAGCTGAAATGCCTGAGAATTCACATTCCCAGTAGTACTTTCGTAGTGCTTTGCCAATGACTGATGGATATGGATGTATAAAGGTATAGTTCTGGCTCAGCACCTGTAGCTCAAGTTGCTAAGGCGCCAGCCACATACACCTAAGGTGGCGGGCTCAAATCCAGCCTGGGCCCGCCAAACAACAATGATAGCTGCAACCAAAAAAATAGCCAGGCGTTGTGGCAGGTGCCTATGGTCTCAGCTACTTGGGAGGCTGAGGCAGGAGACTCACTTGAGCCCAGGAGTTGGAGGTTGCTGTGAGCTGTGACGCCACAGCATTCTACCCTGGGGAACAGCTTGAGGCTCTGTCTCAAAAAAAAAAAAAAATGTCTAGTTCCCTAATTTCAGATGTACAGCATCCAGAATTTTAAGAAAATAAATTGTTAAAGCTTTAGTCCCTGGCATTTTGTTATGGCAGCCCAAGCACATTCCTGACACAAAACTGGATAATATCCTATGGAGCAGTAAGAGCACAACTTATAGAATATCTGGCCAGACGAGGTGGCTCCCACCTGTAATCCTAGTGCTCTGGGAGGCCAAGGTAGGTGGATTACCTGAGCTCACAAGTTCGAGACCAGCCTGACCCAGAGCAAGACCCTGTCTCTAAAAATAGCTGGGCATTGTGGCCAGCACCTGTAGTCCCAACTACTCTGGAGGCCAAGGCAAGAGAATTGCTTGAGCCCAAGAGTTTGAAGTTGCTATGAGCTATGATGCCACAGCACTCTACTGAGGGTGACAAGTAAGACTCTTATCTCAAAAAAAAACTTATGGAATATCTAGCAAAAAACAAGTTATCTCACATTATCAATAATTGAATAATCTGCAAGTTAACCTATAACTTTGTTCATAGTTGTTAAGCTCTCTCACTTTTATGTAATAACTCAAAGTTATTAACCCCAAGAGAGTCAAATATCTGTGATACAGGCTTAA